AACAGACCAGAGTCCAGAAAGAGACCCATGTTTATAAGGAAGTCAGGCATGCGATGAAGGGGTGAACTTTCAAATGACTGGGGAAAGAGGGACTGGGCAACAATAGGAACCTAAACAGTTGGCAACATCTGGAAAATACTAATGCCAGATATTATTCTCACCAGACTAGGTGGATCTAAGAAGTAAGCATGAACAGTTTTTGTCTAAGAGTATTTGAAAAAAATATAGACTATATTTATGGCCTTAAGGAAAAGAAGGCACAAAATGATACACGAAAGGCAAATGGGACAAAAGGACTGATGATTACATCAGAATTTTTACAATAAATGACACCCAAAACAAGATTAAAATACAAGCAAGATGCATAGAGATGGAGAGTCAGAATAGAGAGAGATTTTTATAAATATTAAGGAAAAGACAACCCACTGTCAAAAATAATAAATAGGCAACTCACAAAGGAAGAAATCCAAAGGGCGGATGAGCAGGGGGGTAAACAAATGAATACAAAGTAACATGAAGTGCTAGTAATACAAATACAACCGAGATTTAGGTTTCCTCCATCAGGTTGGGGAACAGGAGGGGAGAACAGGGAAGGGGAGACCTTTGGTAGATGGAGACTTTCCAGGGTTGGCAAAGGGGTGAGGAAATGGACCTTCATATACTGTTGGAAGATACACCTGGTACTGTTTTTTTTTGGGAAGAAAAATTTGGACACATTTATTAAAAATGGAAACCTGAATACCCTCTGATACAGTCATTCCATTTCTGGATTTCTAATCCTAGAACTACTTAGAGAACAAGATGTTCTCCATGGTAGCTATGCCGGGTGTGGAGACAAGCTCCACCACTGCACGGTGAAAATGGTATTCCCACTGTGGAGGGGAGGTGGAGACACCTTGGAGGTTAAGGCAGTGAGAGCAGGCACAGGGCCCCAGGGAAGCTTAGCCCAGGTGCTCCTCTAAGCAGGGGGCTGGGCTGGGGCAGAGGGAACCAGGGGAGGCTTCCTGGAGGAGGTGACCCTATGTGAGTCTTAATGATGAGCAGACGCTAGCCCAGGGATAGTGGGTGGGAGGACATCTCAGGAGAAAGACAAAACTTGTGCAAAGTCTGAGAGGCAAGAGAGAACATGGTCTTTTCAGAAAATGGAGCAGTTGGGTGTCACTAATTTCAAAGTGTGAGACATGGGTTGGTGAAATGTGCATCTGGAGACACGTGTAGGAGCCGATGACAGATGTTATCCTGTTGGTGATGACGGGTCACAGAAGGGGGTGACACAGTAGAGCCTCCTGAGGCAGAGGGATGCCGGTCTGGAGAGGGAGGCCGAGGACGATGAGAGCCAGTGGGCAGCAATGGGGGCCGGACGAGGCGGCCAGCGGGGACCAGAGGACTCAAGGCTGGCTGGGTGTGGGGCATCGAGGATGACTTTCTGGCTCAGGGACTGGCTGGGTGGTGACACCATCACTGAGATGGGGGGTACACAGGAGGAGCAGGTGGCTTGATGCCATTTTATGGGATTCCCTACTAATCTGACCATGTGGGAGAATGGCCAAGGGCCCCGGATGTCAGCGCTGTGGGTCCATCTCACTAACCCCTCGCCTCTGAGGCCTGAGGGTGGGCTTTCCATGCCTGCCCATTCCAGCCTCCCCATCTCCCTGAGGACCCCCACACCATGTGGGTGGGGGCTGCCAGAAAGGGCAAGCAGCTTGCTGAGCATGCTGGCCTCGGGGGGACTCCCAGGGCCTAGGCATGCCCACGCATGGACACCAGGGACACAGCATCTCCTCTGACCCAGTGCAAATCCCCTTGTACAGGGGAGCTTGCTTAACAGTTGAGTTTACCAAGCTGTCAACAAGGCTTTCTTGCGCGGGGACACCGCAGGCTCTGAGGACACAGGCAGGGTGACTCCCAGTAAGTTCAAGAACTGGTGTGGCCCAGGTGCCGCCTACTCAGTGTGGACTCACATCAGCCTGCGAGTGTGGACTGCAGGCTGAGAGCCCCTGCTGTGACAGCCAGAGGCAGGGGTGCTCACAGTGGTGCGGTGCCCTCGGGATGCCTGAGCACCGTGTTTATCCACCAGCAATTCTAAAGCAGGTTCCCTACTTTTAACTGTGACTCTCAGCATGTGGTAATGTCAGGGGTCCCTGCCCCAGCCTGAGGGGAGGAGGGGCAGGGGCCCTGCGTGGTCTGCAAACCACTGCTCCCATTTTCCCCCAGTGGCACCTGGGAAGTCGGCTCGTGAGTCTCTTGTCAGTCTCAAGCTGACCCCTAGGGGACAGCTGGGACATGGCAGGGCACTGAGGTCTACAGGACTAGGGCCTGCCCAGGCCGGCCCCCTCCACGCCCCCCACCAGGGAGCGGGGGTCTCACCCCTCCCAGCCTTTAGCCCAGTGGAGTCCAGGGCTGCCCTGTACAGGAGCCTGAGCCAGGAAGGGGACCCATTCACACCATGGGGCCTAGAGCCTCCAGGCGTCCACAGTGGGTCACCACAGGGGCCCTGGGTCAGCGGGCTGGGGCCTGTTCCCTCCATGTCCTGGCACCCAGGAGCCTGTGGAGGAACAGAGCCCAGGCCAACCAAGCTGCCCCACCAGGAGCTCATGATCAACGCTGCCCGGCGTGTCCAGTGACCAACTGCTAGCTCCCTGGGCTCTGGTAGGCCCAGGCACTTGTGAGGGCCAGACGCACGTGGAGGGTACCAGAGTCCGTGGGAGAGGCTTAGCCCAAAAGAAATGAAAAGTGCAAAGCCCTGAGGGAGAGAAAATGAGGGGCACACAGGGGTTCTAAGATTTGACAGATGACTGGCATGATCTGTCTGCTTTTCTCTAGCCTCCAGGTGTTTATTCTGAAAAAACAACATTGGTTTGAAAAGAACCCATCTATTTTCTATTTCTCATCTTTTCTCCACTGGCCATCTTTGCGGGATCCACACAGTCCGGGATCTCCGGGGTACAGGGGGGTGTCCCTGCGCTCTCCACGGACAGCACATCCTTCAGCAGCTCCTCACACCCTGCCTGGGGCTGCCCACTCGGCCCTCCAGCTCCTCACAGCAGGCCTTGATTCTGACATCCTTTGAAATGACCAGTCCCCAGGGGTGACAGAGAAGGTGCAGACTGCAGCTTGGTGCCCTTCTGCCCCTGAACTCCGGGACACAGAGCCAAGGGAAGGGACTCTGGTGTGTGAGCCGTCTGCTTGCTCACTGAGTTTTCATAAGCCCTCTAGACCTCGATGGTGAGCCCTGTTTCACAGCTGAGGAAACTGAGGCCCAGCGGGGTTGAGAGTGACTTGCCGGGGTGCATGGCTAGTCAGCGTATGGGCCCAGTTCTGAATGACCCAACAGCCCACCTCCTCATGCTGCTTCCTTGTTCAGCAACCCACGAGGGGCCCACTCCAAAAATCTCCCGGGCATGCGGTATCTGTCCCACACTGGGGGTTCTCTGGCCTGGTCCTGGTCTCATTAGTTGGGCCCAAATGCAGTCGCTCCACATCTGTTGGCCTGTGGAGGCAGGCCTGAGCCAGAGCCCAGCTCTTGTCACTCAGCCCTGAGGGCCAGTGTTCTGGGTACAGCACCCTGGGGTCCAGCCACCTGACTCCTACCATGGAGGCCCTGTCCCTGCACCCAGTGCCTGGCTTTGGTTTCTGTGACCTTTGATCCTCAGCCTTCTCCAACACCATTTTGCTGGGCAGCCTCCACTGTGGCCCTCTGTATGGACTCCCCCTCATCTAGGCCAAACCCTGACCCCACCACCCAGCCAAAGTGACCTCTGGGGGCCTGGGCCCCCTTCAGTATAGAAAATATTTGTGTTTTGGGGGGCCTAGATGAGGCACCAACGGGAGGTGGAGGACAGGTTTTAGAGCTGGTCTGCCTGAAAACGAGATAGTCTTCCCTCTGCCCGGGGGTGGCTTAGCCAGAAGGGGCCCGAGACGTCGGAGGGTACATCCTAAACCGGGTCTGTCTATAGGATGAGGCTGCAAGCTTTGGAAAAACAGTTCAAAGTTTTATAATAAACAAACCATTAGGCAACGATAACGGAGTAAACTGTAACACAGAGCAGTGAGGGCTGTGGTCTTTGCCCCACTTCTGGGCCCCAGCTCCCAACACCCTGGGGCTGCCTTGTTAGTCGTAAGGAACCCAGCCCATGGCCTGCCAGTGAGGCCCTGTGGGCAGGGCCCTGGAGAGCCTCAGGGTGGGCCTGTCACCAGGAAGAGCAAGCCTGAGATTAGAAGGTGGGAACTTTCAGAGTCCTCCTCCCCACCCCGACCCCTGGAGAGAGTGTGGAATCCGCATCTGCAGCCCCATACTCTGCCTTGTGCCTCTTCCCATGTGGCTGTTCTGAGTTATGTCCTTTATGATAAACTGATCATTGTAAATATAGTGTCTTCCTGAACTCTTTGAGTTGTTTTAGTGAATCACTGAACCTGAGGGGGGCTGTGGGAACCCCGCACTTCAGCCACACAGAAGTGCAGGGGCCTGGCGCCCCACTTGCGGCTGCCTCCACGTGGGACAGAGTCCGTGACCCCGGGGTCTGCGCGAACTCGGAGCAGTGAGTCTGAAAACTGAACTGAATTGCTGCACATCCAGTTGGTGCCAGAGAATTGGAGAATTGGGGAAATGGTGGTTTTTGGTTTTGAAAAACCACATGGGCCAGTCTGCTTAGCAGGTTAGAGCACAAGAGAAAAGTCATCCTGCTCACTGTGACCTTGAGCTTGTTGCTTTCCCTGTGTGGGACCCTGCGTCTCCACGGTGCCCCAGAGGAGGGGTAAAGGCGCTGTGAGGCCCCCCAGCCCCCACTGTCTGTTGTAGCTTCCCAAGGGGCTTTGCTGCTCCAGTTCCAAGGACTATTCCCTGACCTTGAAGTTGCAGGGCTCTTAGACGGGAAGCTCGGGGCCTCCCAGACACCAAACGGTGCAGCCACCACGTGAAGATTAAGATGGGCCAGGCAGCCGCCAGAGACCCCCATCTCTCTGAGGGGGGCGGCTCCTGGCGCCATCCACCCCTTACCTACCTGCTCCACACAGTCCGGGATCTCCGGGGTACAGGAGGGTGTCCCTGTGCTCTCCACGGACAGCACATCCTTCAGCAGCTCCTCACACCCTGCAGATAGGCAGACAGTGAAGGGTCAGAGCCTCAGCCTGGTGCTGCAGCTTTGCTTCTGATTAAGGTGCCTTGGCAGCGAAGGGCTGAGGGGAAGCAGGGGGCCCAAGTCTCCAAGAGCCCCGATGGTCATTTAAGGGTAGTGATGGAGCGTGGAGCATGCAGGCAATGGAGGAGCCGGCCTGGGGTGCAGTGGAGGGGCCTGAGATAGGCCCTTGCCCTCCACATGTCCTTCCATGCAGACTAACCCCAACAGGGAACACAGAGAAGAGAGACTCCCAGATGCAGAGGGCAGGCTAGGGACAAAGAGAATCAAGGAGGCCTTCCTGGAGGAAGGAATGTAAGACTGTAGTTCACTGGGACTCCAAACACATGAAGTCCCTTGAGCTGAGACCCCTCACCCTGCAGCTCTGCAAATTCCAGAGCATCTAGGATAGGGTCACCCTCAGGATGGCTCTACCTCCTGCTAACTCAATTACACAGGTGGCCTCCCACCCCTGAGCCAACACCCCCATATCATATCCACCAAAGGGCATCAAACCTGCAAAGTGCCTGGCATAGGCACATAACAGGAGCATTTAGTAGCAGCCCAATAGAGTCAACTTCATTCAGAAACCTTTGTTGGGGTCTGTGTGTGCCGGTCACTCCAACCTCTCAGCTCACTTCCCTGACCTTGAAGTTGCAGGTAAGTAATTCCTGCTTCCTTCCTACCCTCCCAGAACTCTGGGTACCGCACAGAGGATTCGTCCTGACCTGACCCACACAGACAGGGAGCATGGCTTCCTTCCCAGCTAACAGGAAAGCCTCACGGGCCTGTGTTCCTCTCGCAGCCAGGGGGAGGCCTTAGCAAGTCCCTCTGGCTGGGGACCTAAGCCACTTTCTCTAGACAAACAGTTTAGTAGTAAGAGTGGCCATACTCTGATTCCTGGGGGTCTCTGACAACTGCCTTTGAGTTCAGGAAAAAGAGGGATTTTATATTGCCTCCTTAAAGAGAGACAGGCAGGGAAGAGAGGAAGGAACTGAGGGGTTTAGGGGAGGAGAGTGGGTGGGCAGTAAAGGAGTCAGAAGGGAGGGAGGGGGGTGAGGGGACTGTCCAGGTTTGCCCAGGAATGTCCTGGCTGTAAAACAGTCTCACGTCCTGGGAGACCCCTCGGGAGTCCAATTATCCCAGAGGGAGGCGACCTGGGGAAGGAGGGAGAGAGAGAGGGAAGGAAAGCAAAGCGGGAAGGGGATAGACAGCGGGAGGGCAGAAGACACTGTCCCACTTGTCCAGGGATGCCTGGCTCCAGGTGTGGGGCTCAGAGACCCTCCACAGCTGGGCAGTCGTGGAAGCCCAAAGGGAGCTGGGGCAGAACCCCCTTCTAGAACCCATCCTGGGCTCCTGGGACCCCCGTAGGAAGGAATGTGAGCCGAAACCCCAGTCTCACCAGCCTCCCCAGCTGGGCAGGATCTCAAGAGACACCCCAGGACTCCTCCCCCAGGAGACCTCACCTTTCATGGCGAACACACCCCGACAAAAGTCCTTAAAGTTGATTCTCCCCAGGTCGTTGGGATCCAAATATTTCACAAGTTTTTCCACCTGTGGGAAGGAAGGAGGGACAGGTGTGAGGCCCCCAGAGATGCCCAGGGGCTTCACAGAGCTGGGGGAGGCTGGGTTGGAGGGAGGTTCATCAGCTGAGCCAAGGGCACCGGTGGTCCCTTCCTAGCCCCCTATGCCCTCAACCCAAGGCCCTCATCAAGCGCCAGGCAGCAGTGGGGCCGCTCTCTTGCCTGAAGCGGACAGATGGCACAAGGGAGCCTTCCCACAAATACTGGCACATGGAAAGCGAACGCTCTGATTTAACTTAGTTGCTTCTTTCATACAAAAATAATACAAGCTCACTGCAGAAATTCTAGAAAAGAGAATGCATCAAACCCCTGCCGTTGCCATTTTTCTTTAAAACACATTGTTTTAACCACTTTTGGGTTTTTTTTGGATTTTGTAGTTCTCAAAGACCCTTTGTCAAATTCCCTTTTGTGTACAAGGAGGAAATAATTATGTCACATTTGTATAGGTTATTTAGAAATTTAAATTAGCAAGTCAAATATGATTTAAGGCAAAGCCAATTAAGCTCAAGATAGTGGCCACATTTGCAGAGCTTTGTAGAAGGGGGAGGATACCAGGGGTGTTTCTATTTCTTGATCTGGGTGCTGGCTACACAGTGAAAACTTGGTTACACTTTTCTGTCCTATTTGTTCTTCATATTTCAATTTTTTAAAGTCTTAAACAATTATTAAATAAGGATTAGCCCCAAACAGCCATTCCTGGAGTTTGGGAGGTTTTTCCCTGCTTATCGATATATCAGAAACACCTTTCCACGCTGCCCGGTGGTACCAACCACATTTTTAGTAGTGCCCAATGGATGTATATCTACCACAATTTACTTAACCACCCCTAACAGTGGGCATTTGGGTTATTTTTAACTTTTTATGATTACAACTCATCTTTGGGGGCTTCTACAGCTCTGTGGATGACCAGTCAACTCCCTGACTTCTCAGATCCTTGACTTCATTACCAGTTGCTTTCTCCCACAGCCCACCCCAGCCACTGAGTCCCTGGGCCACGCCAAGGACTCAGTCATCACTGTTGCCCCTCCTCCAGCATCATTTACTCAAAGGCCCCACTACCTACCCGCATCTCTCCTCCCTTCCTGCCCACCACACGGTACTTCGGCGTCATTGTGCCGTTGGGCTGCTGCGTCTGGGAAGGTCTTTCCTTGCACACTAGGTGGAACCTCAGCCTGGACAGGGAGGGTTCTTGACTCTGAACAAGAAAGAATTCTCCAGCAGGTTGGATGAGTAGTAGGTAAAGAAGGAATTCATTCAAGTGAGTGGTAGTGAATGGCAGCAGCCGGGCAGGCAGCAGAGAGCAAGGAAGAGCAGGGGGAGGAGAGGGAAGCTGCTTGACCTCCTGCTCGGCATAGGGCAGATCCCTGGCCGACTCCTAAAGCCAGGGTCACCTGGGGTCCAGTGTCCACGTGGATCTGCACAGTGTGGGAACTAAGTCCCTAACGCCCTAGGATATGGGGGAGCCGCAGAGCACTGGATGGGGTGAGATTATGTTCTGAGAACTTCCCAAAGGCAAAGAAAGGAGATTTCAGGCAGGCTACTAAAGAGCTTGATCATACAGCTGCAGTCCTGTCCGGGTCACCCAGGTGACAGGAACTTGCAAGCCCAAATCAGAGACCTCAGCAGCCCCTCCCTACTTGTAGGATAGAGGGAATGAAGATTTGTGCTTAAGTCTAGAAAATTGAATGAAAGAGTGAAGTAGCAAAGATGCTAACCATTGGGAAAAGGGGTCTCTTGTTAACCTCCCAAGATTCTTGGAAGAGTGCAGAGACAAAACACAATATATTGAGCAGTAAGAAGTCTTTATTTAAGGCAAAAACTACACATTCAAACAAAGGGGAGTGCGGGCTACCTCAGAAAGGGGCACACTTAAGGGCTTAGGATTCTGTCTTTTAAGGCTTTCAAGAATGGGACAAAGAGGGGGGATGTAGGCTTGACATGTGATCTCATGTTGACTATCTCCAGTGAGAGACATTATGTCAACATCCACAGCCAGTCCTTTAGATATTCTGTCAGATAAACTTAACACAAGGGATTTCTTGATCCTGTTCTTCTCCAAGATAGTGGTTACCCTCAAGCAGTGGCGACATACCATTTAGGACTGTTTGCCCTGCCTTAAGATAGGGTGGGTTATTGTCTGATTACTATAAAATGTTAGGAATCCCACATATGGTTTTTAAGTTCTCTGCACCCAGGATGCTCCTCTGGCATGGCAGTTGCAGCAGAGGTCTGAAGCCCCGGTCACTGCTGGGGCCGGGCACTGGGGACATGCCCAGCTGCTTTGGCAATGAGCCACAATCAAGGAGGCCCTAAACAAGCATCAGTTCTCCCCTGAGCTCAGTGGCCCTATGCGTGTATGTCAGTTCCAACTGCCCCTGCTTCCCAGTCAGGTGTGAGTCTGGGAGTGAGGGGTGAGCAGAGGCCATACATCATCCGTGATCCCCTGAACCTGGTACCCAGAAGTCCCTGGGAGAAGGCCAGGGAATTCCTGTGAAGAGGAAGGTGACTTTCTGTCAGTTCCCACCTTGGCCGGGGGCCCCCTCAGCAGTGCAGCTGCTTCCTCCCCTCACTCCCAAGCAGCAGCAGGTGCTGACACTGCTGGGCAGTGATGTGGCTCCTGAGAACAGCAATGCCAGGTGCCACCTGCAGGGCTGTGGGAGCCCACCCACCTCCCCAGCTGGAGTCCCACCTCCTCTCCTCCTTCCCTCTCGTCACTGGCACTGGAGGGACTTGAGGGGTGCAGGGTGGGTGTGGAGCACCACTACCCCCGGGCCCCTGGCTCTCACCACTACAATCCTCTCCCAGTTTGGGGCCACACCTTAATTACCACTGATCCGAGTCAAGTGTGCAGTCACCACCTTATGAGGAATGGCTGATGCAGAGCCCCAACCTCAAATCCATTTAAGAAGCAGCAGGCTGTGGATTCGGATTCTCTCATCCCTGGAGTCATACCTCCCTGAGGCTGGGAGACACTGCTGGGTCCAGGCTGTCCATCCCGCTGCCTCAAGGGAAAGCCAGCCTGCAGCAGAGGTATGCAGGTGTTTGATGACAGGCGGACAGATGAGGTCTTGGGGGCTACTGCCAAGTCCCTGGAGCACCCGTGAGCTATGGCCCAGGTGACTCCCCCAGGGCCCATCAAAGAGCAGAGATCTGAGAGAGGAGGGGGTGCAGCAGGGCCAGATACACTGCTGTGCTGCCCAGAGGAAACAGACAGGTCCACTCTACAGCGATTATAACAGTAAATGCCAAGTAAATGCCTACAGTTCATAATTTAAAAAATACACAACAGCACAGCTTATGTGGAGAGGCGTTAATAATCCTTGCTGGGTTCATGGAGGATTTGCCAAACTCTGGCTGTACTTAATCTTATCTAATCTCACAACAACCTGAGCGGCAGCTGCTAGTATAGCCCCCATTCTACAGCTGAGGAGACTGAGGCTCAGAGAGGTTAGAAATTTACCCGTTCACCGCAGTGGTAACTCTTCCTTGGACCCAGGTCAGTTTCTGCACTTAACTTCCTTCCTGCAGAAGCTGGAGCTTTACTAGGCTGTCTGCACTTAAGTGTTAATTCAACCCCCCATCCCATTGTGTATCAAAGGCTCTTTACCTGCCATGACTGGGGCCTCACCTTGATCACCGAGAATCTCCACCCTTCTGGACACTAGATAAACCTTTGGCCAATGCACCCCAAGGATACGGCTGACCCAGTCCTTTATGGTACAGTCAGGGAAGTCAGTCCCGGGGAGGGGAGGGGCTTTCTCAAGTTCAACACCAAGCACAGCGAAGAACCACCCACACATGGTCTTCTCGTGGTGAACTGGGGCCACAAGCGCTGGGGGCCCACAGGGCAGTGCACACACCACGCTTGGCTGGGCTCCCTGGGGGCTCCCGTGGACTCCCAGGCCAGGAGAGATGGCACACTGCGTCTGGCAGGGCCACAGGAGCAGCTGTCCTCACTGAAGCACACACAGCTGGGCGATGGAGCTGGCTGCCAGGGAACTGCTTGTCTCATTGGCCGTAAAATATTGATCTTTCCCTTTCGGGGGCTACTCAATTACCAGGCTTCCCCTTCTATTTCTGTTGCCTCTCTGTTCAGGCTGACTTTCTTCCCACTCATTCCCCCTGGGTCACATCTCTTCTTGCTCAGGCCAGACAATGTTCAGAGCTTCATTGTCGCCGCTCTCTGACTGGTCACCTGCCAGATCCTCCCGGAGCCTGAGCCAGTGCCCAGCCACCACTCTGAGGTCTCAGCTGCCTTATCTCAACAAGGGACCCAAGCTGGCTCAGTCTGTAGGTGAGGTGCCTAGTAAATGTTAGTGATTACCATATCTAATCACCAAACACTCAGTCACTCTTCCTTTATACCAGGCCTGTTCTGAGCACTCTCTTAACCACCTCAGAAGTAGATACTATCATTCCCATTGTCCAGGTGAGGAAACTGAGGCTCAGACAGGCTGAGTTATGCAGGGTTACAGCCACACGACAAGTTGGAGGCAGAGTCGGCATATGAACACAGGCAGCCTGGCTCCAGAGCTCATGCTCTTTACTGATAATTCTTATTATTTCTACTAATTTAATGATAATCATTATTATTATCATCCAAAGTCTGGGGGCTTGCTCTGACCAGAGAATGAATAAATTTGTATTCTGCTCTGTTTCACCTAGAAAAAGTGGCCTGGGTACAGAGAACTCTGCATAAGAATTTGAATATTTAAAGGAAAGTGTCATTTCAAATGTGTCCCTATGCATATGACTTAGGTCCCAAATGCAGCTTGGAGACAGACTTGAATTTTTTAAATTAAATGCCAGGATTAAACACCAGTGGCAGCTCTGGTTCTGGTTAAGATGACGTTAGTATATTGCACTCGATTCCTTCCTCTGACCATGACAAAAACATTCTGGACCCAACACATAAAAAACAGCTAGAGGAGGACCCTGAAAAGTAGGCACTAGCAGGCAAACTGGGAGGAA